GAGTTAATTTCCTTTATTTTCTATAGTCTTTCTTGTCCAGACAAAATTCGCAAAAGGGCAGCCACTGTGACTGGTGAGAAAGTTATTTATTACTGAGCATCAAAGCATTCTTCTGCCACTTGCATTTCTTTGATTCTGACCTGAATAAGAATATGTACATGCTACAGGCAGATGGCAACCTCCTGTTTTGTGTACTCTATGAGAATTTTACAAACTGTAACTCAGAATGGTATAACTGGTATTTCACAGAAAAAAAGGAAAGTTTTTCTACTGCAGGTATAATTCCCCAAAAGAATATATCTTATCAGACAATATATCTTATTCCATTTTACAAACAATTTCACTATTCTCTTGACTCATTAGGTTATTCAATACCATTCCAATAAGCACCACAGTTCTCTTAAGTTGCATTCATTTGTAAAAATTATTATGGGGAAGGGAAATGAAACAAAATTTAAATATTTAAAAGCAGTAGTTTAAAACATAGCGGGCACATCTACATGTGATCTTTAATGCAAATTAGCTTATTTTAATGCCCACTAAAGTGTCACTGAAAAAAAACATGTTATTGAGTTAATGCATATTAAAATAGGCTAATGCACATTAAGTGTCACTTAAAAACCATGCTCCTTAGTTAATGTGCATTAAAACAGGCTAATGCGCATTTTCGTAGTACCTCACAGTGAAGGTACTAGATCTAATGTGCATTAACTAATACACATGTAGACATGCCCACTGTTAAATAGAATGTTTATGAAAGGTGATGAATTTAGATTCCTTAGTGATTGAAGTCTTCTCTTTCTTCTCAGAATACTAGAGCTAGGAGACACTCGCTGAAAATCAATAGGTGACAGGTTTAAAACCAACAAGAGGAAGTAATTTTTATGCAATGCATAGTTAACATGTAGAATGCAGTGCCACAGGAAGTGGTGGAGGCAGATGGCATAGCCAGGTTAAAAAAAGGGGACTGGATACATCCATGGATGATAGCTTAGTTAATGGCTGTTGAACAGAATGGTTGGAGGTCTTTCCTCCGGAATCCCTAACTCAACAATGGTGGATGCCAGAGAGGATACTAAACAGGGGATACATCACTCTAGAGATGTCTGGTTCAATACTCTCCCTCTATAGCACAGGTGGGGAAAATATGGCCCACAGTAGAACTTTGACTGGCCAGTCGCAGGTCTCTAGGTCCTGCATGGCCCAGGTGTGCAGTGGAGCTGGGGTGGCTTCTTCTTATTGTTGCTGCCAGCCCTGGCCCCGTTCCCAGCCCTATGGAGACTGGTGGGGACCCACACGCACAACCCCAGCCCTGGCTTGCCCCACACACGTTTTGGACCTGCCCTGGTTAGAGTGAATCAGCTCCAGACCAGTCAGGACCCAAACCCCAGCCTACCCTGCACCCGCTCCAGACCAGTCCACCCATAACGAGCAGTGGTGGCAGCAGCACCACCCAGGCAGAAGCTTCTGCTGGGCATGGGGGAAAAGTGGCTGCTCTCCCTCAACACGGGCAGGCCCTTCTTGCTGTGGCCACCTGGAGGCTGTATCCAAGCTGCTGTGTGACTCCTCTCCACCACTGTCACCATTGCCTCCAGGCCACCCAGCAGGGCAGTGGTGGTAGTGGAGACGAGCCACAGGGCAGCCCAGGTGCAGGCAGCTGCAGCAAGAAGGGCCTAGCAGCAGTGAGGAGGAGGCAGCCACCTTTCCCCTGCACCCAGCAGCAGCTTCTTCCTGGCCACCACTGTTCACTGTGGGCAGGCTGGTCCAAAGCAGGTGCAGAGCAGGCCAGGGCCTGGATTGTGTACATGGGTCCCGGGCTGATCTGGAGCTGGTTTGCTCTGGCCAGGGCAGGTGGGGACCAGGCACAGGGCAGGCTGAGGCTGGGAATGGGGCTGTGCGTTTGGGTCCTGGCTGGTCCAAAGCTGGTCCACTCTGGCTGGGGTGAGTCTGGAGCAGGCATGGGGTGGGCTGGGGCCAGGAGTTGCTGTGCGCTCAGCTACTTTTGGGCACTGGTGGTGGTAGCAGCAGCAGGGAGGAGCTTTAGGGCCTGTGGACTCCAGGTTTGATGAGCTGTCGCAAGGTGGGGGGTGCTGACCAGCCTGTAACAGCTCCCCACAACTGGTTATGTGGCCCATAGGCCCAAATAATTGCTCAGCCCTGCTCTAAAGCTTCCACTGTTGGAGAAAGAATACTGGGGTAGATGGACAAGAGGTCTAACGTGGTATGGCACTTCTCATATTCTTATATAAAACAGGGAAAGCCTAGACAGAAACTATGTACAATGCCTTATTCTGTCCTGACAAATTTGCCATGCACATCTTCTGGAACCATTCATTGTGGAGTGGTAGTGAAATTTAACAATAGTGCCTGTACTCAATGAGTATGGTGGACTATATCTATAATATGAGCCATATCACTGTGTTCTTCTCTTTATTTTCAACACAGCATTGCATCCTTTCACGTATGTAATGGGGGATGTTACAATCATTCTTAAAATACCTTCCATTAGCAGAAAGATTCAACTATTCAAATAATCCTATGGGAATTTATAGGACATTTTGTATGGTAAGCTTTCACTCAATGCAAGTGTTGGATCCTTAATGATTTCACAATGGCAATTCATCTGAGAACATGCAGGATTTAAACAGGACAAAAAAAACATAGAAGGACAAGAATGTAACCTCTTAGCAAGCTACAAGTGCTGCCTGGGAACCTAAGACAGACTGCTGTAGGCAGCCCCCGCACTGTAGAGCCCTCATGCCCCAGGCAGCCCTGGTCACTGTCTACACATGTATGGTGGCAGCGTAAGTTACTCTGCCATAGGATAGTACCTGTTCTGGATGCTAATATGGGTGCCCATGTCAACAGTGATACGTTACTGTAGAGCTAATTAGTCAACTTTGCAGTAAAGCGCATGTACAGATGCACCCCATGAGAATCAAAGAAAACTAAAAGTTTCAATTCAAAACATTAAAAGTGCTCCACCTCAACACATCTCACAATATCCTTAACCGCACGGCACTGTTAGGGTGATAGTGGAAATTTGTGGGCATTTGAGGTAAATAAGGGTCCATCATCTTCCAAGGCCTTTAAAAATGTAAGAACAAATCCACTGATAAATGTGCCTTGAAAACTCCAGTAGGTATGGTGAGGTCACCCTGCAATCAACTTTCTCAAAGCATGCTGCTAGTTCTAACCAAATCCAAACAACACCTGATTTACCAGATCATCATCATCTAAGGATACTAGTAACAGTGTGTATTCCACAAATCATGCCAATGCTTGTAACTAGGTAAGATTAAGGAAGATTCCAGATGAATTCAGAGGAAACCTTCCATGGCCTGAGCAAAGGAAAGGTACGATGCGGTATTAACTTTTTTTATGATAGCTTCTTGGACAACAGCCATAGTTAAACTTATATGTTACCCTCTGGGAGAAAATAACCACCAGTGTTAATAATAGACATGATACCTATTCACATCTCTCCCTAACTGTCTCTCATGGATAAGGGGCATAGCCTATAACTCCTTCAGCCTACTCAGGGCTTGTATACATGAAAATAGCTGAAATACTGTCAAAGAAAGCAGCATGACTAGCTCCTCCTTAGTTTGTTACTGCTTCCAAGGAAACAGGCAAACTAGTCTGCATTTGATCAATCTAATCCACAAAGCAAGTAAAAAAGGCTTCACAGCCAACCCTGTGACAGTCTATTACCAAGTACAAATTACTACGACTCTTTTTGTTTGTTTTGATGTTGCATTTAAAAATCAATGCTATCAATTTAATTAGTGCTAATTAAAAAAAGAAAAAGAAAAAACACATTAAAAGACCTACCAATGCAGATCAGTCCAGTAGAATCCAGCTTGCTGCCAGGTGAACACTCACAGTTGAAAGAACCAAGATTGTTTCTGCAGGCACCATTGACACACGGGCTGCTTTCACATTCATTTATATCTATAATCCAGAAGGGAGAGATGCTGTTAGGACTGCTGTTTCTGGAAAATATTACGTTATAGAAATGCTGCTGTGAACCATGATATACCAGCATGGCTGCTCAACTTGGTTCATTTTTCCCTCCCCTCCCCCCCCCCCCTTTTTTTTTTTTT